TCATTTTCTACTTTTCTTTTCTGTTTGAATGACTTAAATAGGAGAGGAGTGAGCCAGAAGGTCAGCCTTTTCATAATAGTCCCAAGGGTGAAATATTCTTCCCTCAGAAATACACCTGGAGCACACCTTTTTTATGTTTCCAAAATATTGACAACCATGGCAAAATATTGACAACCATGGCTTTTGAATGATCAGCCATGAAGGGTTTGTGGCTGATCATTCATGGGTGGCCAATCACTCTCCATGTAATAGAGAGTCAGTTTGGAGTAGCAGTTAAGGATCTGGCCTAGAAATCAGGAGATTGTGAACTCTAATCCCGTTTTAGGCATGAAAGCCAGTTGAGTGGTTTAGGCCAGTCATTCCGTCTCAGACCAACCTACCTCACAAGACAGCTGTTGTGGAAAAAATAGGAGGAAGAAGGAATATTATATATGTTTCCACCTTAAGTTACTCATAAAGTAATAAAAGGTGGGATAAAAAATAAAATAAATAAATTCATTTTATAGCATTACTAGTTTATTGTAGGCTGTAGATCTGTCTTCTGTTATGCACTGACCACAGGCTGTTGAAAAGCCACTGTATAAATACAGTAAGACGAATTAAATAAATGCTAATTTATTCTTTTTCAATGATACTATGTCTCCTTTTTGTTACTGCAACAGTGTTTTTTCTTCCTTCCTTCTCCCAATTTCTAAGAGAGAGAAAAAAGGAGAAACTCCAATTTAACCTTCCTTCTGTGCTCTTCAGGGCTCTCAGAAGTCATTGCCTCTGAAAAATAATTGGAAATTACAAATACTTGGAAAGAGCATGAACCCAAAAGCTTCCCAAGTTATTCTATACTGCATCCCACTATCTCCCCCCAAAATCTTCTTAGCTCCTATTATTTTGGGGTTCATTTTCCCACTTTGGTGAATAAATCAGAATGATAGTTCCTAGCAAGCATGGTGCCCAAAATCAAGAACTTGGCTGAGGTAGTGAGACCAATGCTCTAAACATGTCTTTCATGCATACAATACACAAAAACAGGGCAGCTTCAGCTACCTCATTTTGGGATTTGGTTTGATTTTGGTTTTTTTAACCATCAGCTCTGGATTCCCTGGTTCTTAATAAATGGGACATTTTCCCCTGGGACCTACAGTCATTGGGGTATGGGACAGAATAGCCCTGATGGAGTACTCTGGTAAAAGAAAATGGCTGCTTACAAACTGTCCAATGGGGACTTCCCATGATTAATTCTGATCATTTGTAAAATGGCAGTCTTTCGAAAGGGTGGGCTGTGCAAAGGAGCTGAGAGTTAATAGCTTCCTGGGGACACTGCATGTTTACATTGATCCTGATTCCCAGAAAACCAACTCCAGAAGTCCTTTTGTTTAGGACTGTCCCATCAAGAGAGGGAGTCGTGCTCCCTTCCTCAAGCACATGCTTCAGTTTTTCTTTTTGTTTTCATTTTAAGGATAGGTTTGCCCCAAGAGCAAGGTCTGCTTCTCCAAATGTCAGTCCCAGTAATGATTTACTGGGATTCAGAGAAAGAAAAAAAGCAGCTACAAGAAAGGCCAAGAAGCAAATCCCAGCCAGGAAAATGTCATCCATCTGGAATCCAACAGGAAGGACGGCTGTGGGGATTTGGGGGAAGTCATTGGGATGTGAAGGCCTTTCTGAGGCAGGGAGGAGCTATTTTTGCATTCCCAGGGAACTAGCAAAGATCCTCTAGAGAAAAAACTGGTTTCCCCTACACCTACCCCCACCCCAATGTCTGTAGAGCAAGTCTCTGCCCTGAATTGTTGAAGGTGATGCATTTCAATCCTAGATGTGATTAGCGCTGTCAGCACATGGACATCTTTGTGCTTAAGTTCTGATATATCTATTATTGGGAGGAGGAGGAGAAGGATCACGAAGGAATTACAGACACCCACAATACCAAGATGGTTCCAGTTTATTTCCCCTCTCCCCCCCCCTCCCATTTATCCCTCCAGTTTCCCAGCAGTATTTTGGTTACTGCTTTATTGGCTTCAAAATCTTCTGGAATTATTGTTTTATTTTCTTTGTTTCTTTTTTAAATGATATCACGCGCCAAATACATGTTTCGCCTTACTTGTTAATGGAAAAAGAAAGCACAGCTCCCTTTTAGGTGCCAGGGATTTCACAAACCTGAATGGGCCTTATATGAGGGAATTTGATTTGGATAAGATCTGGCATTATGTATCAGTTGGCAAGACAGTGTTAATACATAAACTGCTAAGCTTTGAACTTGAGTTCACTCATCAGGCAACCGAAATGAGTTGGTGAAAGTTATCTTAGCAAACTTGTGAATGAACGAATGATCTGCATTGTCAATTCCAGACACTTCTGCGCAGTCATTTTAGAGTATGCCAGCATACAGCTTTTCCCCTTGATTGCAGTGTGCTGTTCTGCCACAATAATAAAGCCAGCAAGTCAGTTGCCCTTCTTGTTTCAAGGGAGACGAGGAGTTTAAGAAAATAATTGATAATTATTGAATAATAATAATAATAATAATAATAATAATAATAATAATAATAATAGAAAATAATAGTTCAATTCTCACCAGGCTCAAGGTCGACTCAGCCTTCCATCCTTTCTAAGGTGGGTACAATGGGGACCCGGTTTGTGGGGGCAATAAGCTGACTTGGTATAAAATATACACATAGTATGAGGGCTGTTGCTTGGCGCATTGTGGGCTGCCCTGGATCTCCGGAGAAGGGCGGCATATAAAAATAAATTAAAAATTTAAATAAATAAATAAATAAAAAATAATTGATACCTTTCCCAACTTCGTTACTCTTCTGTCAAGCATTGTCCACTAAAAAGAAAGCTAACACCCATCGTTCTCCTTATTAATTGATTTGATTTATATCCTATCTTTATACAATTCAAGATATTACATACAATGCTCACATCTCCCTTTTATCTACAACAAGGCTGTTAAACTCAAGACCCCTGGGCTGGATCCAGCCCATGAGGTGCTTAGATCTGGCCCATGGGGCCAACCTAGAAACGGTGAAGGATTGGTCCGTGGTGTCTTTGCCAGCGAAAACTGAGATTGGGAGGGCCGCATGCATCCCCCACAAGCTCTGTTTTCACTGACAGAGGGCTGCAGGAGGCCGTTGTGGTCAAAAACGGACATTAAGTTGGCCAGGGCCAGTGGTGGGTTTCAAATTTTTTTACTACCAGTTCTGTGGGCGTGGCTTGGTGGGCATGGCAGGGGAAGGATACTGTAAAATCTCCATTCGCTCCCCACTTCAGGGGAAGGATACTGTAAAATCTCTATTCCCTCCCCAATCCAGGGGAAGGATATTGCAAAATCCCCATTTCCTCCCAATCATCTGGGACTTGGGAGGCAGAGAATAGATGGAGGCAGGGCCAGTCAGAATTTTTACTACCGGTTCTCCGAACTACTCAAAATTTCCGCTACCGGTTCTCCAGAACTGGTCAGAACCTGCTGAAACCCACCTCTGGCCAGGGCCTGGCCATGCCCACATCCCAAAGATCAAACACAACCCTGATGTGGCCTTCAATGAAATAGAGTTTGACACCCCTGATCTACAACAACAAGCCTGTGAGATGGATTAGGCTGAGAAAAAGTGTGACTGACCCCAAATATCAACTTGGCTTCTCTGCTTAAGGGAGGACTAGAAGTCACTGTCTCCCAGTTTCTAGTCCAGCACCTTCACTGCTGTTCCAAACTGACTCTTTAATGAGGAGTGGGATGAGATTCAGCAGCTGTATGCAAATGCTTGGAATGGTGCATTTAGCCAAGCTGTCAAACTGCTCATAACAGTTCTCAGGAACTGAGGTGCTCCATGCCTGTGAATTCTCAATCAAGTTATTTCAGCTTTGGCACTCTTCCGAAGAAGCACATGTCAAAAGAGCCCAGCTGGTTGCAGAAGCATGGGATGAGAAGCACTGGGTGAAGAGTGCAACAATAGTGAGCAATCTCTATCCTTGGTTAGTGCTGCAAATGGATATCAGAGCTAACAACAAACCTAGGTTTGTCCTTATGGCCAACAGTGTCCAGAACATCATGGAAAGAAATAGACAAAATGGCACCAGTGCCATTCCTCTGAAAGTAATAAAAACAGCCAAAAATATAACTTCACCAAACTCTTTGCCCATCTGGGGGCAGATAAGGATAAGCTCGTGGTGAACAAAAGATGGGCAACGATTTTCGGCTGTGAATTCTGGCAGCGTACACAACTAACTAATTCACAGAATTTGGCTGTGAATTCTGCGTACACAACTAACATCTTCCTTCTTTAGTCATATAACTTGGGAATGGACAAATTTTGCTTTCTAAAATTATGCATGTCGAGGTACCCCAGACTAGGAAAGCAATTCCTTTGCCAAATTTCTGGTTTTCAGTCTGCATCCAAATCCAGAGGTTATAAACTTGACATTGTTTTCCAAGTGCTGTATTACATCCTCTTTCCTTTCTTTCTTTTTCTTTTTCTTTTTTTCTTGGCATGGGTAAAAGATGGCAGCACAACAAACAGCACCCGTGAACATCTGGAGACGGAAAACAGCCATGGAATCAAGCTTTTCTCCAAGTGCTGCAACTGTCAGCACATCCCACGTACTTATTCCTTTCCCCTTCCGTCTGCTATTTCTAGCAGAGAATATAAATCTCCTATTAGAAGGGAGGTCTTAACCTTATTTTAGTCTCCGTTTAACACAGGCATATGTCTTAATAGAGAATAGCTGTGAATCAAATTGAAACATTGTCACAGAAATTCAAAGGCGGACAACACTGAAGCTTGGGTTCATTTTTTTAATCATAATCATTTGCTTTTGCTTTTGAAAAAACATACAAATCATACATTTGTTTTTGAAATCTATTTTTTAAGCAAAGACTTTAAAAAGACCACACAGCTTTTCTTCTGCTGCTTGTTTAAAAATGTTGTGCCATATGCACAACTCCACTAGTAGAATTCAATGCATTACAATATTGAAAAGGGTACGATTAGAACGGAAGACACTGATTTAAATCTCCATCCTGCCATGAATTTCACGGAGTGACCATGAACCAGTGTCCAGCTCTCAGCTAATCTACTTCAGAGAGTTGTGAGCTAAAATGGAAGAAGGAAGAAATCCAATATAAAATAAAAAATAAAATAAATAAATGTGCTCTGCTAGAAGTTTTTAGAGTAAAAACAGGAGATAAATCTAACAAATAAATAAAATGGACATGGCAGCATCTTTTTTTCACTTAACCATTTCTTCCAAGACCGCCCATTTCTGAAAAGGATGTCAAGTTAAATGTCTAACTTATTTATATTCCAACCCCTCATGGTCCTGCAAGGGTTAACGTAACCATACATCCTATCAGTCCCACAATCCCACCTTACCTCTAACTCCTCCCCCTGGGTATAAGAGGTCTCCCCACGAGGCCATCCAGCAGTTCCAGATGTGTACCTGTAAGAGAAGGACAAAAGGTCAGTTGCTATTACATGAATGGGCCTAGGATCAATCCAGGCCTACAATAAAAGAATTCCTAGAAGAAACTACTTTGTCTTGTGAGTTATTGGGCTAGATCCATCCCTTCGACAAAGGAGAGCAAGCATTTCATTTTTCAAACACATTTAAGATAGAAGAATTTGCTCAAGCTACTTCTTTCAGTCACTATAGCCTGCTAGGAAAATTCCTGTGGGAATATTCATGGGGTGTCTGTCTTTTTCCTGTTATATAATTTGCTTCCTTCACCAATAACACAGGGGATCTTTCCTTCCTTCCTTCCTCCCTTCCTTCCTCCCTCCCTTCCTTCCTTCTTCCCTCCCTTCCTTCCTCCCTCCCTTCCGTCCTTCCTCCCTCCCTTCCTTCCGTCCTTCCTTCCTTCCTCCCTTCCTCCCTCCCTCCCTTCCGTCCGTCCTTCCTTCCTCCCTCCCTCCCTCCCTTCCTTCCTAGTATTAGGAATGTTTTAAATATTGTAAGCCTGAGGATGGCATCCAATGAAAAAAAAGTTTAAGCAAAAAAAAAATAAATTCTAACAATAAACCAGTCTTTATAAAATGCCCACATTTTGTGGCATTTTATGGCAAAACATGTATACTATAATTCCCATGCTTTTTGCTTACTTTCAAAAATCAAAACAAAACTTTGATTTAATACAATGGCTAAGGATACAAATAAGGTCATATTAAAATTAGTCTTGAGCTCATGGATTAAGAAAGAGAGAATATCGTATTATTATAGTAGCAGATGAGAAGGAAAAGTAACAAAATAATAAGAAATATTATTTCATCCTAGAGCAGCTTTCCGCCCTCTAGAAGTGCTGAGTCCTAGCAACAAATGGAAGTCAATGTTGCTAAGATTCACATGATTCTACATATAAACAAAGAAAAAATAAATAACTGGATTGATACATCACACAATGATGCTTTGGTTAACCTTGGTTTATTCTCCCGACTAAACCACAACAACTACCATCAACTGGTCAGCCCCCCAATCCAAACACATTTCAATATGGCTTGGACTATCTGATTTAGATTCCACAGTTCATAGATTTCATCAACGGAACGTGCCATTTTTTTGTTGGGTCTTCACCTTGGCTAGTTGAAAGCACTGCTCTCAGGACTTTTGGAGGCAGTATAGAAATCCCTCTTTAGCAGCATTTATACCCTTTTAGGGACACCTCAGTGGAATCCTTAAGCCATGTATTCCTTTGTTGTTCTCTTTACAGGGAGTCTAAGGCATATGTCTAAGGCATATAAGGTGAGATGGGGTCATGGGGTTCAGATGGGCTTGTTGCTTACGTACCTGGCTCCCTGCCGCGTGGCAACAGCCCTGCCCGAACTACTCGACATGATAGCCACGGTGGCAGTTGATACACCCAGGCTTATGTCATGGGTGATTTCAACTTGCCATCCGTTGGTGAAATGTCTGAGATGGCTCGGGAGTTCATGGCTTCCATGATGGCCATGGACCTGACCCAGTTGGTTCATGGCCCCACCCACGGGGGGGGGTCACACTCTGGACTTGATTTTTGTCTCTGGCCAGTGGTTGAGTGGTCTTGTTATAGGGGATATAGACATGGAACCCTTGTCATGGTCAGACCACTCACTCCTTTGCCTGGACCTTCGAACCGCTACACCCCGCCGCAGGGAGGTGGAGCAAACAAGATGGGTCTGCCCCAGGCGCCTGATAGATCCTGATAGGTTCCAGATGGAGCTTGGGCCACTTCCTGAGGATCTGGCACATGACTCGGCCGAGGACCTGGTGGCTGCCTGAGATCGGGCGGCTGGTGGGGCCTTGGATCGAGTCGTGCCTTTGCGGCCTCTGACCCGGTGCCGATCCCTCATGACTCCTTGGTTTACCGAGGAACTGAGGGAGATGAAGCGCTGGAAAAGACACCTGGAGAGTGGTTGGAGGGCCAGTCTCGCTGAATCTGACCGAACACTGGTAAGGTCGCATATTAAGACCTACCTAGTGGCGATAAAAGCGGCAAAGTGTAACTACTTTTCCGCTCTTATTGTGTCATCAGAGAATCATCCGGCTGCCTTGTTTAGGGTGACCCACTCCCTGCTCCATCCGGGAGTGCGGGAGGACCCCCTGGAAGGCAGGGCCGAAGATTTCGGACAATATCTGTATGACAAAATCGCTCAGATCCAGGGGGATTTGGACTTTGACTGGGTAGATTCGGGCAGGGTGACGAGGAATAGTCTAGAGAATGTTATCTCAGAAAAGTTTGACTCTGTGACTCCTGATGATGTGGACAGGATTTTGGGGGGACTTAGTGCGGCCACATGTTTACTGGACTCGTGTCCCTCCTGGTTAGTACTGGCTTCCCGGGAGGTTACCCGAGGCTGGCTCCAGGGAATTATCAATGCTTCGTTGAGTGAGGGACACTTCCCCGCTGCCTTGAAAGAGGCGGTGGTGAGGCTTCTCCTCAAGAAGCCCTCCGTGAATCCGGCAGTATTAGCCAACTATCATCCTGTCTCCAACCTTCGCTTTGTGGCGAAGGTTGTTGAGAGTGTGGTCACACGACAGTTTCCACAATTCCTGGAGGAAACATCTTATCTAGATCCGTTCCAGTCGGGTTTCAGGTCTGGGCACAGCACGGAAATGGCATTGGTCACATTGGTAGATGATCTCTGGAGGGCTCGGGACAGGGGTTGCTCCTCTGTTCTGGCCCTGTTAGACTTCTCAGCGGCTTTTGATACCATCGACCATGGTATCATGCTGCACCGGTTGGAAGAGTTGGGGATGGGGGGAACTGTGTTACGGTGGTTCTCCTCCTTTCTCTCAGACCGATTGCAGTTCATATTGGCAGGGGGGCAGAGGTCGACCTTGAGGCCTCTCATTTGTGGAGTGCCTCAGGGGTCAATCCTCTCGCCCCTTTTGTTCAACATTTATGTGAAGCCACTGGGTGAGATCATCCGTGGCTTTGGGGTGAAGTACCACCAGTACGCTGATGACACCCAGCTGTACATCTCCACCCCAGGCCACCCCAACGATGCCCTTGAAGTGATGTCCTAGTGCCTAGAGGCTGTGCGGGTCTGGATGGGGAGGAACAAGCTCAAGCTCAACCCTTCCAAGACTGAGTGGCTGTGGTTCCTAGCATCCTGATATAGTCAGTTGACTCCATCACTGACTATTGGGGGCGAGTCTTTGGCCCCGCGGAGTGGGCTGGCAATCTGGGAATCCTTCTGGATACACAGCTGTCCTTGGAGGAACATCTGATGGCTGTAGCCAGGGGGACCTTTTGTCAGGTTCACCTGATCCGCCAGTTGCGGCCCTTTCTTGGTCGGGATTCCCTGTGCACAGTCACTCACACCCTCGTCACCTCTTGCCCGGACTACTGTGACACACTCTCTACATGAGGCTCCCCTTGAAGAGCACCCAGAAGCTCCAACTAGTCCAGAATGCGGCCGTGCGGGTAATTACAGGAGCAGCATGGCACTCCCACATAACACCTCTCCTGCGTGAGCTGCACTGGCTCCCAGTCGTCTTCCGGGTGCACTTCAAGGTTTTAGTTACCACCTTTAAAGCGCTCCATGGCACAGGACCTAGTTATCTTCGAGACCGCCTGCTGCTACCGATGACCTCCCGTCGACCTGTGCGCTCCCACAGAGAGGGCCTCCTTGGGGTGCCATCAGCCAAACAATGTAGGCTGGTGACCCCCAGGGGGAGGGCCTTCTCTGTGGGGGCACCTACCCTCTGGAATCAGCTGCCCCAGAGATAAGGAGAATCCAAGACCTCGGTGCCTTCCGCTGTGCCTTTCAAACTTTCCTTTTCCAGCAAGCTGGGCTGGCTTAAAAATTTTTTAAATGTTTTTAATTGGTTTGTCACTTTTTAAATTATGGGGCCAAATAGATATATATTATTTTAATTGTTTTTATTGTTTGTATTTTATGTTTCTTATTTGTGGCTGTACACTGCCCTGAGTCATCTGGAAGAAGGGCGGTATATAAATTCGAAATAAATAAATAAAATATCTTTATCCCTTTTTAGAGAATTACCCTGGTAGAGAGCATGATGCTTATCCATCACTTCTTCTATTAAACCAAGACTCTGATGTATCTTTCCAAGCTGTCTGATTTGTGCTTTAAGGGAGAGGAGGATTCATCCTACCTACAACTGAAGATTAGTGCTAAACCTGGTAATCACCACCGGAAAAGACGCCTAGAGAGTAGTTGGAGGGCCAGCCGTTCTGAATCTGACCGGACACTGGTAAGATCTCATATTAGGAATTACCTAGTGGCGATAAAAGCAGCGAAATGTAGCTATTTTGCTGCTCTTATTGCGTCATCAGATAATCGCCCGGCCGCCCTGTTTAGGGTGACCCGCTCCCTGCTCCACCAGGAAGCGCGGGAGGACCCCTTGGAGGGTAGAGCCGAGGATTTTGTTCAATATCTGTATGACAAAATCACTCAGATTCGGGAAGATCTGGACTCCGACTGGGTAGTCTCAGGAGGAGGGACAGGGGCAGGTCTTGAGAATGTTATCTGGGATGAGTTTGATCCTGTGACCCCTGAGGATGTGGACAGGATTCTGGGTAGACTGAACGCGACCACTTGTTTATTGGACCCGTGCCCCTCCTGGTTAGTGCTGGCTTCTCGGGAGGTGACACGAGGCTGGTTCCAGGGGATTATAAATGCTTCGTTGGGTGAGGGTGTCTTTCCTGCCACCTTGAAAGAGGCGGTGGTGAGGCCTCTCCTCAAGAAGCCATCCCTGGACCCGGCAATGTTGGTAAATTATCGTCCGGTCTCCAACCTTCGTTTTGTGGTGAAGGTTGTTGAGAGTGTGGTCGCGAAACAGCTCCCCCAGCACCTGGATGAAACAACGTATCTGGATCCGTTCCAGTCGGGCTTCAGGCCCGGGTATAGCACGGAAACGGCATTGGTCGCGTTGGTTGATGATCTCTGGAGGGCTCCGGACAGGGGGTGCTCCTCTGTCCTGGTCCTGTTAGATCTCTCAGCGGCTTTTGATACCATCGACCATGGTATCATGCTGCACCGGTTGGAAGAGTTAGGGGTGGGAGGCACTGTGTTGCGGTGGTTCTCCTCCTTTCTCTCTGACCGGTCGCAGTCTGTGTTGACAGGGGGACAGAGGTCAACCCCGAGGCCCCTCATATGTGGGGTGCCGCAAGGGTCGGTCCTCTCGCTTCTCCTGTTCAACATTTATGTGAAGCCGCTGGGCGAGATCATCCGTGGTTTCAGGGTGGAGTACCATCAGTACGCTGACGACACCCAGCTGTACATCTCCACCCCGGATCACCCCAACGATGCCCTTGAAGTGATGTCCCAGTGCCTGGAGGCCGTACGGATCTGGATGGGGAGAAACAGGCTCAGGCTCAACCCATCCAAGACCGAGTGGCTGTGGTTTCCGACGTCCCGATATAGTCAGTTGACGCCATCTCTGACTATTGGGGGCGAATCACTGGCCCCCACGGAGAGGGCTCGCAACTTGGGCGTCCTCCTGGATTCACGGCTGTCTTTAGAAGAGCACTTGACGGCCGTGACCGGGAGGATTTTCTATCAGGTTCGCCTGATTCGCCAGTTGCGTCCCTTTCTGGATCAGGATTCGTTACGCACGATCACTCATGCCCTCGTCACCTCCCGCCTGGACTATTGTAATGCTCTCTACATGGGGCTCCCCTTGAGGAGCACTCGGAGGCTCCAACTGGCGCAGAGTGCGGCCGCGCGGGTGGTAATGGGAGCATCATGGCGCTCCCATGTGACACCTCTCCTGCGCGAGGTGCACTGGCTCCCGGTGGTCTTCTGGGTGCGCTTCAAGGTTTTGGTTACCACCTTTAAAGCACTCCATGGCTTAGGACCTGGTTATCTACGGGACCGCCTACTACCACCAATAGCCTCCCACCGGCTAGTACACTCTCATAGAGAGGGACTCCTCCGGGTGCCGTCAGCCAAACAATGTCAGCTGGCGACCCCTAGGGGGAGAGCCTTCTCCGTGGGGGCACCTACCGTCTTGAATGAGCTCCCCTCAGAGATACAGAGGATCCCGGATCTGCGCACCTTCCGCCGCGCTGTGAAGACTCTTTTATTCCATCAAGCAGGCTTGGCCTAATCTCCTCCCTCTTTTAATATATAAATTTTAAATCTGTTCTTAAATTATTGGGGTGTTTTAATTTGTCTGGGCCAAAATGATTTAATTTGATTTTAACTGGTTTTTTAAATTTTTGTATTTATGTATTTTATTGCTTGGCTGTTCACCGCCCTGAGTCCTTCGGGAGTAGGGCGGTATACAAATCAAATAAAACAAACAAACAAACAAACCACTGTTATTTGCATTTTTATTATATTAATTTTATTGCATGTTATGCCTCCTTTTTAGTCTTAATGATAATTTTAATGTACGTGTTTCTATGTGGTGTTTTCGGACCTAAAAACAATAATGAAGATGTGTTGATGACTACAACCTTCCAGAAGATTACTAGGTAGTAGCAAAGACCTGGCATCAAATGGGCACCTGGATTTTTGCAGCTCAGATCTAGTAGCCCAGTAGATTAGATTTTGCGTAAACTAAGCCATGACTAAATGCTTCTACAGCACAACAGGGTTCAAAACGTAACACCTCAAAAGTTGCATAGAAGGGCAAGATCTTCTGCTATGACATCCTGGAAAATCCAGGATGATGCTGGCACCTCAGGGTACCTGTGAATAATCCAATGGATAAGGTTACCCTATCTGGGATGCCAAAATACAGATCAGGGTTTCTTAACTTTGGCAAATTTAAAGTGTAGAATTCAACTCCTAAATTCCCCAGCTATGCTTATGAAGCAGCATGGCGCAACATAGGAGAACAAACCCATCAGTGGTGGATTTAAAATTTTTTATTACCAGTTCTGTGGGCATGGCTTGGTGGGCCTGGCAGGGGAAGGCTACTGTAAAATCTCCATTCCCTCCCCAATCCAGGGGAAGGTTACTGCAAAATCCCCATTTCCTCCATATCAGCTAGGACTTGGGAGGCAGAGAATAGATGGGGGTGGGGCCAGTCAGGATTTTTACTATCGGTTCTCCGAACTACTCAAAATGTTTGCTACCGGTTCTCCAGAACTGATCAGAACCTGCTGAAACCCACCTCTGAAATCCATCATGTCTAGATTCAGCAGTCCATCTGCATTTAAAAGGTATAGGTCACTCTTTTGAAGACTGTAAAGTCCACATATTGGACAGAGAGGACCTCTAGTTTGAAAGAGGGGTCAAAGAGGCCACCCATGTCAAAATTGAACAGCCATCTCTCTCAACAGAGGGGGAGGGATACGACATCATCTATCGCTAGTCTATGACACAGTCCTTTCAACAAGAAGGCTCCACACCCATTTGCACTACTCAGGTGACCCTCATGACACAAATAAACCTCCAGGTGGCCTTAACAACTTGCTAAAGAATGCAGATGACCAGCTGTCTACAAGGACTATAAATCCTTCCATTCCCCAGTCAGAGCTGAAGAAGCTTCTTGGATGAGAAGAAAAACAACAAAGTCCAGTTGCCTCTTGAAAAAGCAGTTTTGGGACAACTATGACCTGGATGACTGAGCATCTCCATAAACATTTATGCTGGGTAGGGAATTCTGGAAGTTGAGGTCTCCACATATCTTTAAGTTGCCAGATTTGTGAAACACTGATATAGATGACATAAGATGGCACTAAAGCAATAGTAAAGTGCTTAACTCTTTGCTGCCATTTACAAGATTTTTGCAACTTAGATCTGGAACCTGTAGTGTCAGAGGGGGAACAGGGATCTGTTTCAAAGTGAAAAGAGGGCCCCTTGTAGATGGCAGATGTAGAAATAATCTATCAAATGATGTGCACAAAGAAACTTCCACAAACAAGCTATAGCCATTAACAGTCTGTGTTTTTCATGCAGAAAGTCTTACAAGGCTCGGGAGGAAGCTGTTGTGAGTTTGAAAGGCCTGCCTTTTTAAAATCATAATTTTTAATATTGCTAGCCAGCAAACTATATAAGACTTCCATATCCAAACTATGTCAGGGTAGGGCAATTGCTTTAGACTAGTTATTACTTCATTGACTTCACAATAGGTTTAACTCCCCACACTGTTTCGATGCCTTTCTTTTCACTCTGACAGCTCTGTCAGATCCAAAGGAAAAGATGGCCTCCAGGGCTGACACAGTGTTTCTTAGTCTGGGCAACTGTTAAATGTATGGACTTCAACTCCCAGAATTCCCTGGCTGCCAGAACTTACTAATGTTAGGAAACACTGCTCTGATGACAGAAATCCTGTCCCAATGCCTCAAAATCTTTGCCTGAGCACCAATTGTGTCAGAGAACACTGCCTGGGATGTAATGGAAGGAGATGTAGTTTAATTCTGAGAAAACTGGGCACTTAAAAAAAAAACACCTTGTCTGCCCTTTATTTTTTTTAAGATACAAGACAATGAACTGAAGGAGGTTGTGTTATCCTGTTGACCTGGATATGGTTGAAGTTCACCGATATTTAAGCTTTTCAATCTATTTCAAGAGAATCTACATATTTTAAAAAATAGTATGGTGGTAGCTATGGTTTGAAAGTCATAGCAAATAGGGGTGGGCCATGGTTTGTTGGCTGATATTCTACCTATTTTTGTAATGACTGCCAGTTAATTATTTCTATATTCCTCCATGACTAGAAAGAAAAAAACATGTAATCTAGAAATACAGGTAAATTTTGAAATAAAAAGTAATTCACAGGATAGTCTAGCTGGAAATTCTGGGAGACCGTCTGGCAAGGCTGAAGTCCACCAATTTATGGATTCAGTGGTTTCACAGGATATGGAAAAAAAAATTCAAAGTGGTAACTGGGACAGTGCGATCAAAGCTTCTCTCACTTTTATGCATTTAGCTATTTATTTTGCGCCTTGCACGTAAGAATTGACAGGGCTTCCATTGCACTATCCTGGCTGCCATCTGTAGCACCCTTGTATAAACTCTCTAAAGGAAGAAGCAACTGTTAAGTCTTGAGTTAGCAGTGGCATGACTTTGCTTATGAATTAACTTAGGAGTTCTCAAACTTTGCAATGTTGCAAAATATAAAAGAACTAGCGGCCACTAGCTGCCCTGTCAATAATATGAATGCTTTTATGGGGGCCTATATTTCTGCAAGAAATAGATACGATATAGAAAATTTATACTTAAATTTTAATGTGTATAGAATGAAGGTTCTTACGTTTTGCAAAATTTCAGCTGCCTATAGAGGGCACAGTACCCCACTTTGTTTTGATGAATTTCAAAAATAATGAGTCCCCCCCCAATTGCTTGCAACCCCTAGCATTAACCAGGGTGCATTAACTGCACAAAAGTGGATCAGGAAATGCTGATAATAATTAAGATGTTAAATTCTCCCTCTAAGGGGGTCCCCTTTTACCAAGGGATGCCCTACAGCTTCACCCTCAATGTTGAGCCATGCGTAATATTAAGAGCAGATTGATTCTTCACAGAAAGATGTGGGCACCTGCTGCAGATTAACCTTTGCCCTCCTTAACTAAACATTAGCTTTTGACAGTCATATAATAAGACAGATTCATATCTGACAGGAGGAAAGGGAAAAGAAAAGAACTTAATCTTTCCAATGACATCAGCGAGAGAGACCCTACATGCTGAAAAATGATCTCTTGCCACAGACTGAAGCTGTCAGTTTCAGGGCAAGATTTCAACCTGCGTTCAGAGTTTTTGCCTGTAAATGTAGTAGCTCTCTTCACACAATTCGGTTAACCTGACTTTAACAAATGAATCCATTTGTTGGAGTTTGCACAGCATGCTGAGTCATAAATTGGTCAAACAAGTTGATTTTACATGGTATGCTGAATTCACAAAACAAAACCAACCTTGATTACCACTAAGGAAATGTAATGTCTTGTGTGAATGCATCTGCTGAGTTTTAGTTGTTCTGCTTAAGTATGTTGTGTGAACACAGCTGATGAAAAGCACTGCTGTCCAGCAATGAGAAAATGCTGTTTTCCAAGTTTTCTTTTGTATGTTTGCAAAGTACTAATATTTATTTATTTATTTATTTATTTATTTATTTATTTATTTATTTATTTATTTATTGGTTCGATTTATATGCTGCCCTTATCCGGAGACTCAGGGTGGCTTACAATGCGTTAAGCAATAGCCTTCATACTTTTTTGTATATATCTGCTTAGTAGGGCTTTCGCCCCCCACCCCCAAGCTGTGTTCTTTTTTATACAAAGTCAGCTTATTGCCCCCACAATCCGGGTCCTCATTTTACCTACCTCGAAAGGATGGAAGGCTGAGTCAACCTTGAGCCTGGTGAGATTTGAACTTGCAGTAATTGCAGGCAGCTGGTGCTACTTAATAGCACTTTAGTCTGCTGCGCCACCAAGGCTCTTAATAGTGATGGAAATGTGATAAAATATAAAGAATTGGGAGAGTTCAATTTCAAAACATTTGGGAGCTACCAATTGGAAAAAAGCTGAAACATTTGCCTATATCTTGATATGATGAAATCCATGGAAGGAAATCATGATTACAAAGTACAACAAACATGTTTGTCAAATAATTTTTTGCAAATGACAGAGCCAAGTTTCATTGTCCTCACTGCTGTTGTTTCTCCTATTTCTGTGATTTCCATCACATTGCAAAAAAACAAACAACAAATCCAACAACACTTTAGACCAATTCTGAGGCTGATCTAAATTTTTCCCTTGGTCATAGAAGGAAGACACCAAAAAGAGCATTGGACCCAATGAATGTTGTTGTGCAAACTGATGATTGGTTTCTCCAACGCCTTCATTTCCACGACTATAGGATAGTCATCTTCACAACACCGCTCATACATTATCCAAGTCATTGGGATGGGGAGGGGTTTAGTATACTGTGTGAGAGAAAAATCAAATCAACTGTTAAAGGGTTAATCCAAGGCTTGCAAAAGGACAGGGGATATGGACCAGAGAGTGAATCTTTTGCTGGGTTCCCTCTATCTGTCATGCTGCCTCATCTTTTCTTTTGTAGAAAGTTAGCATCCACCCCTCTCCTAGAAGAATGAAATATTTTAGGAAATATTAAAAAGGCAGAATATATTTCCCTGGATGAGAAATGGAGAAACATGTTTTAAAGACAAAGCAGCTCCCAGCTTCCTCCCCCCACCCCTCTTTGCCAATGGGCCAGAGGTAGAAACCCAATTCCCTCCCACCTTTGTCAATGGACCATCATCTGCAACACAATAGGACCCATCTAGCAACAGAAACTCACCACATGGCACCTGGGAAGATTACATCAACCAGCAAGGCTAGCTAAGACCCCCACCCCCTGGGAGTCTGACAACCAATCAGGATACCCTTCCTGTGCCCCAGGAAGTTCAAAGCCCAGAGAGGGCATAAAACCTGGGGACTCACAGCATCTCGGCCTTTTTCTGTTCAGACAGTCAAACCATGTGATCCTGTCCACCATTAAAGCATCTTTCCACGCAGTCTCCATGTTTCCAGTGTCTTTTTCTCCACTTGGAGCTGAACCCAGAAGGATATTTCTTCCAACACTTTTTTTCTCTAATCTATCAACTTCTCTTTCTCCACCACCTCTTCCTCCTCCTTATTCTCTTTTACCACTCTGGTCGTCTCAACCATTGTTGATTGTAACTCTCTTAATTTTTATCACATTCCCATCACTATTAGTACTTTACAAACAGATACAGAACAAAACTTGGAAAACAGCATTTCCCTATTGTTGGATAACAAATGCCTTTCAATCTGTCAATATTACAAGGTAATCCAGACTAGAAATTAATGCCAATACAGGTCAGAATTACTTTTATTGGAACAGCTATAATAACATGTCTGGCTGTACTTCTCTCCTCCCCCAACCTTGTTTTGTGTGAATTAGGAAGGGCCTGAGACATTTCAGAAATTAGATTGTTGGAACAAACTCCCACTTAATCTGATTGTTGTCTGAATAGCAGCTCTTCCTCCTATTTTTTAAGCCCATTTCCTATTCCCTCTACATTAGTGTTTCTCAATGACCACTTTAAGATGAATGGACTTCAACTCCCAGAATCCCCCAGCCAGCCTGCTATCTTAGATAAAACAAAGTTAAGAAACACTGGTCTGCATAATCTCAGATTAGTTCCTCCTGCCTTTATTTCAAGGCATGCGGGCTTAATTTTTTTACAAAAGAACTTTGATTTCCAACAAAACAAAATGACCCACTCAAACAATCCTCAGAGAGGTAAGTGCACTGATTTTTGTCTTGAGGTTAACAAATGACCCCATCACCCATGTTATCCAAATTAGGGAATTAACTAACCTTTTTCTCCCAACATTTAAGATGAAGTCCCAGAGAGTCCACATGAAAATGACTTTCCTAGGCATTCCATCTCTGGCCATTTCAGTTTTCACCATCATCGTCTCTAACACAAAATGAACAGAAATCTGTCAGTAAAGGGATTTCTCTCAATTCAGTAAGAGGTTCAGGCTCTGATTCAGGGGTGAAATGCTCCCAGTTCGGACTGGATCACCTGATCCAGTAGCGATGGAGGTGGGTGGTTTGGAGAACCGGTAGCAAAAATCCCTGCGCCCCCCACCCCCATTGCCCAGCTCAGCTGCGCAATCATCAGAGGCTTTTTTTTAATTTTTAAAAGCATTTTTTCTACAACCTCTTTGGCCGAAAAAATGCTTTTAAAAGTAAAAAAAAAAAAAAAGCCTGTGATCATCATGCAGCTCAGCTGGGATTGCCAGAGGCTTTTTTTAAAAAAGAAAGAAAGCCTCTGCCGATCAGGCAACTCAGCTGGGATCGTCAGAGGCTTTTAAAAGCAACCTCAGCCGAAGAGGTTGTAGAAAAAATTATTTTAAAAGTTTAAAAAAAAAAAGTTGGCCACGCCCTCTCAGTCATATTACCCACCACCACCAAGCCACGCCCACAGAACTGGTAGTAACAAATTTTACATTTCACCACTGTTCTGATTGCATTATCATAGATTCCTTTACATACAATTCTAATAGAGAGGGAGAAAAGTACCAGGAAGGGGAAAGTAAAGTCATCTTTGCAATGACTGGGTCAACTGATCCTCCTAATCATGCATCTATAATTTGTAAACTGCCCGGAATCAGTAGTCTGCATAGAAATTTCATGAA